GCAAGAGATCACGTATGGTAAATCTGGGAGGTACCCAAAAAGTCGACTTTTTGGGTACCTGCGTTCATGCAAGAGATCACGCATGGTGAATCTGGGAGGTACCCAAAAAGTCGACTTTTTGGGTACCTGCTGTGGTGGTGATGGGTCTGAACTCTTAGGCAATGATATCCTTTATGGGGAGAAGGGTTCAGCATCACGGGGTTCATGCAAGCGATGACGTCCGATGGTAAATCTGGGAGGTACCCAAAAAGTCGACTTTTTGGGTACCTGCTTTGGTGAAGATGGGTTGGGTCATCGGGAGAAACCGATCGATTCAGCACAAGTCCGGGCGCCGAGTCGACTGTTGGGGTACCTGCTTTGGTGGTAATGGGTTGGGTCGCCGGGAGAAACCGATCGATTCAGCACAAGTCCGGGCGCCGACACTTGTGGCACTTGAATGTACCCGAGACCATGGGCAGCGCCCTGCGGCCCCACAGGCCGCAGAACCCAACGCGTCACGGGGTTCATGCAAGAGCTGACGTCCGATGGTAAATCGGGAGGTACCCAAAAAGTCGACTTTTTGGGTACCTGCTTTGGTGGTGCTGGGTTGGGTCATTTATGGGGACGAGGGTTCAGCATTACGGGGTTCATGCAAGAGATGACGTCCGATGGTAAACCTAGGAGGTACCGACTCTTTGGTGGTGAAGGGTTGGGTCTAAATTCTTGGGCAATGATATCCTTTATGGGGAGGAGGGCTCCGCATCACGGGGTTCATGCAAGAGATGACGTCCGATGGTCAATCTGGGACAAAAAACCCGCGGTCCACCCACGGACGGCTAGCCCAGCAGCTCCCTTCCGTGGTCTTTTTTCTCGCAGGCGTTTTCTTTGGCGACTGCGTCGCACGAGACGACGTGGTCCGGGGGGCTTCCAGGAGCAGCTATGCACGGATGGCGTACGTCGGGCAGTGCGGCAGCGTAGCTGCCAGCGCGGCTGCGGATATTTTCTCAGGCCGCGGCTTCAAGGAATCACAGAGAAAAATTTCTTACAGTGCGACCCATTCCCCAGAAGCAACGCCCGCTGCGACGAGCGCGCTTCCAGCCTCCGGTGTGGCGCTCATGCCTCTGCCTCGCTCCGCCAACGCAGCCTGAGCTGCAGCCGCTGACCCCGATGGAAAATATCGCGGAAAGGATGGTACGTGGCCTCCGGGACAAGATGGTGCCTGGACGGAAGGACATAGCCGGGATTCTTCGCTTGGGGGAAGCACGCGACAACGCGCAGACAGCCAAAGGTGGCTAGTAAAATCTTGTCCTTCAAGCCAACAGTGGCTATGCACAGGAAATCAAACCTTATCCTTGAAGCCACTAGTGGCTATTCACAGGAAAGCCGCATGGTCCAAAATGATCTCAGGCTCGACTCCCGGGGTGGTCGCGGCGCGCCGTGCCCTCTTTCGCTGGTGGCGTTTACTGTCTCCCATGGGCAGCTCCCTACTCCGCCACGGCGCGTAGAACGCAACGCGCCCGAGCAGGGCAGTAAGCGACGCCCTTGCGCCTCGTCCAGCTCCAGCAGCCGTCGGCTTCCGCCAGCCTGCCATGCAAACACTGCGCGCCGGCGTTTTCCGCTCACGACAACTACACCGAACAGTTTTCCGTGGCCTGCATAAGGGGACATACATGGGCAACGCCCTCGCTGGCTGACGCGACCTAGCAAACACCATGGGCAGCGCCCTTCTCCCGCAGGAAACGCACAACACAAACACCGGCTGCCTCTCACCCGACAACTTGGGCGACGGGGGCTCTTCTCAACTCCTGCATTTGGCTCAAAGGGTGCTCCAGGAAACCCTACCCTCCCCACATCCACGGCAACGTCCTTCCTCCTACCGTGGAACCACCCGCTTCCACACCCTTCCGTCCCCCCCTCCCCCCCTGGCCTACCGCACTGCAGACATTCCGCCACGCGCGCGTGCCGCCCGCGTGTACATGGCTACGGTCTCTTCCCTGGCTGGCGCGAGAAGCTCGCCATCACCTCCCCGAGCTTCCGTTTGCGCTGCTCCGTCCTAGAACCAACACGCCACATGGCGCGGACACGGGCGCCTGACAGGCATGCGAAAATCTTACCAGGGCCTTTCACGTTACCACGGGCACTGGCTGGACCTCGTCCAGCGCAAAATCAACACAAAGCCTAGCGCATTCCTGGGAAAATTCCAGGGCATTGGCCGGGATTAAAAATAAGTTCATCAATTTTTGAGCAAATCAGGGAACCTACATGCAAGCGGACATGCTAGATAATTCTACAACCATGGAAAAAATGGGGAACTCCTACCCGGGGGCGGTCTAAGGCTAAGGCTAAGTCTAACGCTAAGGCTAGGCTAAGGTTAATAAGGCTAACATCGACAGTCACGCCTCACCCCACCTCTCTGCCTGGAGCAAGGCTAGCGCTAAGGTTCTATGCCTTGGGGGTCGGCGGCTGCAGGCGGTAGCCTGGTAAATACAACAAGTAGAAGTCAGAAGTACACATCGTATGACATAGAACTTCTTGTATATGCAGGCTCGTCTCCATGTTGCGACGTCATTCAAATATTGCCAAGCGACTCTTTCTGCACGCTTCTGATGCTATGGCGGTCCTCCTTTGCAATTTTCAAAGCAAAGCCGCGCTGTCTCTGCCTTTTTTTATACCACTTCCTGGGAAACAACGAAGAGATGACCGGGGATGCATGATACAAAAACATAAACAAAGTCGGTCATTGAAAAACACTGTTGTTGTTAAGGAGGTGGAAAACATTTGCACTCCAAGACCAGCCTGGGAGAGGGACAGAATCTTATCAACTTGATGCCTCCAAAAAAGATAAGCAAAAATGACTTTCCAAACCATGATCTTTTCCAAATTGGGAATGCCTTCGCTTTGGCATCACAGGTAACCTTACCGGGGAAGGAAACCCAAAAGGCACAGCTTCGCTAGCATGGGTCTCACCAGGGTGAGACAACGCCGCATATTTTAGTATAACTGTATAACATTTTATAACCATTGCCATGTTAAACGACTCCTACATCACACAGTGGTGCTTTTCTGAGAAAACAGTCATGCCATCATGCACAAGATTTCAGCCACATTCTCACTTGGGTAGAGTGCCATCAAAATGGTCGCCGCACAAACTACAAACGACCTCTTTTGAAATGTTCTTCCTCAACTATACTGTCTGTGCAGCCTCGAAAAACCGCAAGGATAGCTCAGCGGGCAGCAAACACAGCCAGATCAGCTACCGTCACCACTCAACTGATATTGGAAGAAAGGGATCCTGCATTCCTGAAGGCAGCACTTGGTTGCAGACTGTTACAAACCAAAAGGCTCTGCAAATTCTAGGTCTCGTCTCCAGCGGAGACCCAGCCGTGCAGGTCTCAGAAGCTGGAGAAACACCCAGAGGCAGCGAACGAGATTGGCGTGATTGCTCATAGTCGTCCCGAAATTTTCTTTGTTGCATCCCTTTCTTCTGGATCCAAACCATTCCCAAACACTCCAGTTTCACCTGGCAACTGGCATGTGTACTTTTCTCCGTTGGGGAGCTTTTTTTCGGGGTCGAGCTCACTCAACTTAATATTACTCACCTGGACCTGGACCTGCAACAAGATCCGACACTGACGCTGCCAGGCTTCTCATCAATCTTCTTCTCAGCCTCATAGACAGTACCATACGTTCCTGTCGGAGACGTCCGATGAACCAAGTCCCCGACCAGACCACGGTTCCACCGCGACAGCCGGTGACGGAGAGAAGGCCGGTGACTGCGACTGCAGGTGGTTCCATGATCTTATCTTTTTCCAATGTTGCTTTGGAGTGGTTTAACATGGTACATGTAACATGTGTATTATATAACGTTTACAGTGGCAATGAGGGGAGATATAGATGTAAATTGTAAAACGTATAGACAGACTATGAGAGGTTACATGAGATTACACACGCCATTTCACAGGTTGGAGCAACGAGCTTTCACTGGCTCCCCAAAATATTTGCTGAGTCTGTGTAGGCAAATTGGGGATGATTCCCGGCCTTTTTCGTTCTCCAAACCCAAGCATTGGGCTACAGTTGCAAAATCGTCCATCGCCATGGGGAAAATCACAACCAGCCAACCAAACACTAACAACCCCGTCATCTCATCCCGGCTTTTGCCGCCTGAACCGAGCAAGTTCGTGGTCTTCGCGTAGCCGCCGCTGCAGCCCTCCTTTCAAGAGCGATCCGATCGAAATGAACGGCCGCCGACCTGCTGAAGTTGGGGGAAGACAGTGCCCAAAAGAATAGCAGGGTCAACTGGTAGGGCGATCTGATCAAAGTTGGATTTGGGAAAAACTGGTTCCAAAATGATCGCAAAAGAACCTGTCACCTGTCAAGGATTGGAGTTTTTGAAACCTGACCGATGTTGGGTGGATTCTGATGGATTGTGGATCTGCTTGTGGATATGGGCCTGCACATCTCACTGAAAACCACCACCTCCTAGTCGCCCTTTTCCCCCCACCTTCTTTCCAGTCTGCCTCTCCTCCGTGGACTCCATCTCCTCTTCTAGGAGGCCACTTGCCACGTCCTCGAGGAAGCCGAAGCTGCTCCACCCAGACGCGACGCGCGGCGTGCTTGGTGACGGGAAGGGCGTCGAGGCAAGGTTGTTGTCGTGTAGCAAATCGTGCAGCGAAGGCATCACATCTTCATCTTCAAGCTGTTGGATCAGTTCCTGACAGGTAAGGAGCAAAGGATTTTGGGCAAATACTGTACTTGGCAGGTGTTGTATAGTTTTGTGGGAGCATTTGGCCCTCAAAACATCTTGAATTCAATACCTTGTTCAAACCAGTCCAAAAACATTGCCCCAAACACTTTTTCATCAGGGTAGTAAGTCCATAAGCAAACAGTATTTGGCTTGGGGATTGGAATAATGCAAAGGCTTGGTTGCAGCCATGAAAAACGACGTGTTTTGCTTTGTTTAGTGGCCTAGTCCGTGCTTCTGAGATCGCCTAGCTTCCTCCCAATCCTTTTGTCCAAGTCCTTGAAAGGGCATCCATTCCTTCTTCATATTACTTATTTTCATTTCATGCTGTTTCATTCAAATAGCAATTCCGTGCAATTTATAGGCCAAACAAACTCCCTGGAATTGCACTCCCCTCATGAGTTGCACTGTCGCATGTTGACTCATTAATCCAACATTTGTTGGTCCCCCTATAGTCTAAAACTGTTTAACAGTTATACCACCACTGCAATTGTTGCACCAGTGCCCTCCATCCTACACCCAAATGATGCTCGGGATCCAGCGACCTCCGAATTCAGTTTGGGATTGAAACACACAAGAGCACGCGCTCGAGTAAACGCCAATGTATACATTCAATCCCGCTAATTGTCCAGCTGAGAGGCATGTTCCTTCTCCTCTTTTGGCATGGACCGCACACCCGTGGCGTATCTCATAAAGATGCACAGAAGACCAAGCACACCAAGGAGTTTGGCCATGGCGGCGAGCAACGCGAAACAACTTTCTCAGAACAACGGGGCTGGTTAGAGCGAGCCACAATGCTTGTCTCGTTAGCGGCCGCTGCGCTGGCTGTTTCATCTCCAGTTTGCACCCGGAATTCTTCACTATAAGTTAAGCATGATCACTTCATGCACAGCTCACCCTTTCAAAACCAACGACCCAGTGTATCCTCTATATTCTCTGGTCATTCCGCTTAAAAAAACCTCGTTGACCCTTCGGATGTGTGCGGCACAGATGTCCGGGAACATGCACGAATTCCATGTCTTCACCACGATCCATCGCTGACCCCGTCTGAGTCCTTCCGGAACATCCCGACCATCTGGGAAAAGTCCATGTCTGTTTCATGCTTCAGTCAACCCACTGTTGGAGACCCAGGGAGACCAGACTGGCATGGACTTCCGAACGTTCCGACCGATGTTCCGACGGTCAACGTCCGGCGATGGACGTCCCCATCGCCCGATCCGACCAGTCGGGCGTCACGGTCTCCATCGATCCGGCTTGGGCATGGATCGATGATCGCAGCGAGGCGCCGAGGCGAAACGGAGCGAGGAAACCCCGGCGATTCGCCGATTCGCCGAAGAGGTCGAGAGCTTGTTCTGCGACGAGAGTTCTATGAGGTGCTTTGATTCGGTTCAGGTGAGGACGGATATTGTGGATGAAGATCTGATACCGATACTTGCTTATGGTTGCTTCATTTGCTGAAAGACATGTCCCCCCGAAAAACCATGCTTTGCATTCCATCTTCCAGTCTTTTCTCTTGTGCATTGCACTTTCTTTCACTTGCAGACCCCAAAGCTGGCTTTCCCAAGGCCTGACCCCAGGCTCTGCCCACCCACCGACCCCAACCGCGCCACCCCCCGACCTCAGGCCTCCATTGGCCGCCACATGAAGCGCTGTCATCCCATCCCGCTGGCACTTCCCAGCGGAGGTGAAGCGAGCGTGCTTCAACAAGACCTCGAGGTGAAGGCTATATAAACGGATGTCATAGGAGCTGTTGTTGTAACTGTATGCTGTATTCAGTTCCATGCTGCATGCTGTATGTTGTATGCTGTTAATAGGTTTTAAATGGATTTCATAGAAGCTGTATACGGTTCCTATACATGTTCCTATAGAGTGGAGGCAACAAAAAAAACGCAAGGGGCCGACACGAGGCGTGAAGATTGGTCGTGCGGTTGCTGTGAGGTCGCCGTGTCCCGGCGAGATTGGTGAGTTCGATTAGACATGAATGGGCTAAATCAGTACAGTGGTTTCAGAATAGAAAAGATGTACAGTAAATGCACTGTACACTGGTTTCTGTAACAACGGGTCTGGTTTCTTTCACCATGTGTCAGCAGTACAATGGGCTAAATCAGTACAGTAAATGCACTGGCACTGGCACCCAAAGATGTCTTAGACATGGGGTTCCATACCAACCACCGAAGGGGATTGCGATGTCCGGGTTCCCGGGAACATGCGGTCCAGTTCTGTGAAGCCGGAAAACTTGCATGCTTGCTCCAGGCTCCTTCCCAAGTGCTGACAGGAAGCAAACACCACAGCTGTACAACCCATAAAGAACAAACTAGATGGAATGGACAAGCCAGATTGAATATGCAAAGAATGTGACTACGTAGTACGCTAGTCAGCCCACTGGCAAATGCTGCCAATGAGAAAGTACACCAGCGAAGGCCTGTGTTATCCTGTGTTCATTTCCTTAAGCGTGTCGACAGTACCGAGTATCTTCCATAGCGATGCGAACAAAGTCTGCACACAAATCGTCTTGCCTCTTAACAAACGGGTTCAACACCTTTATATATCTGCTTGAGGATCAATGGGGATTCACTTTATAGATTGCTTTTGTTTGAGGACTGGACTATAATATGTTGCAGCCCATCTCGATCACCCACTTCCAGCTGATGCTGGCTTTCCAACATGAAACAGCCCAACATATTATATATATATATATAGCGCTCCATATTCTTGAGGCCTAGGGCCTAGAAGTCAAGAAATCGTCACAGAATGTCACAGACCAAAGCAGTACATGTTTTGTTTGACATCTTCTTCGACTCTCACTCCGCTCGCACCTCTGCAGCCTTTACTTGGCCATGTTCAGCTGCCAAGTGCAACGCTGTGCGTTGCTGGAAATCCTGGTGCGTCACCCGCACGGCGTGTCCGCCGCGGAAGAGAAGCTGGCGGGCGTGATCCCGGACGGATCAGGCCTCGATCAAATGAAAGCAAACACAGCAAGTGTTGAACCCTATAAGTCCAGGAAACGATGGCCGCCCTTGGCACCATGGCTTCAAAGTGTTCAGGAATAGACTCGGATCACCTCGTCAGACTCCCAGGGGAAAAATGGAAAAGATCCCAAGATGGGCAGGGTTCCAGGACGCAGCGGGGATTCCAGATGCTTTGGCCAAGAGGAGAAACCGGCGAATTCGGCCCTTAGGATTTACTCGGACTTGGAGAGTCGCTCGCTGCTAGGCTGTGATCTAGAATCTAGACGCTCAAAAAGACTGACTATGCCGACTCTACCCACAAGTTTGAGTCCTTTTGTTTTCCTTTTACTAGGCAGATTGGGGAAATGTTGAGCCCACATTGAGTAGCGCCCACTTCCAAAAAGGTAAGTAATGAAGTAATGTGTCCCGACTATGCTGAGATAACTCCAAAACGTCGTATACACACTCCACGTTAATTCCCGCATAAAATAGGTAGATTCTTTAAATTCAGATAAAGACTTCACACATGAAGCATCTGCTCCTCAGCTCGCCCTGAAAAAGATTCCCTCTCGAACACCATCCTGGCTGTTCACCATGGTGAAGTTGGGATGTTCCAACAGCACGAAGCACGCTTCGCCTGGCAGATCCCACCGGTCACCACGCCGATCGCACGCCCGGTGTCGGTTTCGCCCGGGAACCGGGCACCCCGCGGGAAGCGCCGCCGGGAAGCGCCGCCAGGAGATGGGCCGAAGTGGGGCGGAATGGCCGAAGAACCAGCAATCGACGTCGACTTGAAACTAAGCAGATCAGCCATTTCTGATAAATGAGATAGGGAAGGACGCGAAGGCGGGGTTCGAGGCTGAACGACGACTGAAGCTGTGAATGGAATGGCGGTTAAAACGCAAAGACAAAAAAGACCTCACCAAACGGCGAGTCTATTCGTTTTGGTTGTTTATGGTTGTTTATGGTTATTTGATAGACCAACGCTTTGTCAAGAAACATAGGTTCTTGTCGACTACATCTTCGTGCTGCCTTCCTTGGATTTCCCTGAGGCCGCAAGCACCAGCTCTGGACGACCCTCAGGTTCTAGAGTACAACTTGTCCTGATTTGACGTCCAGATCTTGACTTCCCAATGGGTCTTCACACAGAAGAATCCTGTTTTTTGTGTCGAGCTCGCTTGTTTGGTGGTCCACATTTTCTCAAAACCCATTGAGATCTGACTCCCCACGCGGCCCCATGGCCCTGACCGCGAAGCCTTGGCCAGCCTGGGCTGCTCGATGAAGTGCTGTTGCGCCCTGACCGCGACGGGCGGGCAGGACGGATGGTCTGATGTGGTTGTCGGAATCGACCTCCTTAGTATAGTCTGGTCCTGGCATGATCTGGTTGTTCCTGGAGGGGCTTCCCTCTGGTGTTTCCAAAATAAAACCCTAGCCTTCCAAGACCATTAAAAAAAAACAACTAGTTGACCTGAGTTTTATATAGTATCTTTAGATATCTGTAAAACAAAGGTCCTTCTGTGTTTAAATTTGAGGGTGGCTCAGTTCCATCCAGTTCGGTCTACAACCGGCTTTCTTCGGCCCCCGCCGTGGTAGATGGAGAAGTGAAAATCCTGAGGAATACCAGTTTAGATGGGGTACACCTTCAATTACCATTATAACATATAATATCATATAATCATATAAGAACTACCGATAACTATCGACCTCCTTGACCTGTCCTTTTGATGATACTAAGACTAACGTAGGGACTTGGCAAAAAGCGATATTACATGCTATATATATAATTATATATATATCACAGCTTAAACGCGCCTTTTAAAGGCCACAGCAAGGCTAAAGTGCCAGCGAATTCCTCTACCTACAGGAGGACTGACCGAAACAGGGTGATCCCACTCACCCTATAGACATAGGAGACATTTACCACAGGCTCCATGGAGCCTGGTAAGGGCATCGCCCAACCACCTAACCTCCCCTTGCTGGCACACCCAATTTAGCGGGCACTCACAAGACCATTTTGAGCCTGCGCCCCTGACGAAGTTGCTTGCAAAAAACAGTGGCCTTTGCCACAAAAGTAGCTAGCTGCATGTTAACGTGAGGTGGAAAGTGCATTTGAATAAGTGCTGCTCGGCCCGAATCCAAGTATAAACGGGCGGTCTTGACGCTGTTCCACCGCCCCAATTCAACCAGAGAGTCGAAAGAAACTCCCTGGGCAAATGCGTGAGAGGCTCCTCCACGCCTGATGCTGTAAGCAGTAAAGCCAACCGAGGCTAGGTTTAGAGTATCTAAAAGCAAACGGAGGGCCTGACGGAAGGCCGGGGTCGAACCATCCCACATGAAAGCAGATTCAGAGCGCTCCCAGGCGAAGCTAAGTAAAAAAGGTAGCCAAGGGTCACGAATCAAGATACTCTGGGGGCGCTTGGGCGAAGTCTTCGAAAACGGAATTGCGATAACCACATTGGGCTCCCCTGGTTTCCAGCTGACATGATCAAACCTAAGGGAGGTCATCTCACTGGTTCGCAGGAGGGCTTTGTACCCAAGAAGCAACAAAGCGGCAAGCGCATGCTCCCGCACCTCAAGCGCTGCCCCGGCAAGGGCTAATACCACATTGGCTGGCATGGGAATTGCCTGCCTGGGCACGTGTTCAGAGGTCCAGTTTGAGAACCATTGTTTGGCAATAGGGATCTTGAACCGCGACTGGGGCACAAAGCGGCGGAAGGCACTCAACAAATGCCCTGCGTAAGAAATTGGGGTATCGTCCAAGTATAGGGACTCCAGATATTGGGCAATCAAGCGATCAAGGTGGTGAAACTTTGAGGGCATTTCAATCTCTTCATCTTCAAGATACGAAAAGAAAGCTGATAGGGCGCGACGATAGGCTGCAACTGTCTTTTTGTGGCTAACCCGGCATAGCGAAGTGTCTGTGGGGCCTTAGGCATCACCTCACCGTCTGGAAGGTCTGTCAGCAAAGTTCCATGCTGACAGAGTCCAAATCGGTAAAGTATACAGGTCGCCTGCCAGGGATATAGCCGCCAAACGTCGCAGGACTCGATTGAGTCTAGTGGATGGAGAGCGCCCTTTGCCGAGCGCATAGTAGAGTACCTGACTGTCCACGACCACAAACACCCTTTTGTGGCGCATGTCAGGCTCCCGCAGCACTCGGCGAATGTGGGCCAAAAAGGCCTGAAATTCCAACTCATTGATATGCCCTTCCTGTCGCCATCTGAATGACAGCACGTCACGCCACAGCCATCTATAGGCTGGGTACGGAAACAGTTGCCGTCCTCCCTGTTCCTCGACGGCCAACCTGACATCTGTGCCACGATAGTGACCCAGGCGAAGAAGTTGCTGTAGATGAGCTTTTTCGAACCCAATTTGCATGGTCCTCTCCATATGCAAGATGCCACTGACCACCTTTTCCTGCAAGCCCGGACTTTGCAGCCGGTCATATTTCATGAGGTCTTCTCTGATCTTCACCTTGCGTACTTCGGCAAGGGCTTCTTCCCTGTGCTCACTCAGGTTCATGAGGTTGACGGCTGCTTTGGCGTACTCCTCACACAAACCCCAGGGGTATGTTGCTTCTTGCTCCATTGGGAACACCACCTGGCCAAGCTGCTGATCCCAGTAATCTCCGTGGGGGCAAACAGGCTTGTGAAGGGCTTGGTAGATGGTCTCGCTGTTGGTCAGTAAGCTCGTCCACTTTTTGCGCCTTCCCCCATAACAGCAATGGGAGAAGATCGCCATCCTCACTCCTGGAAGACCTGCCAGGTCTATGGCTGGCTTGGTATACCACATCCAAGAGCGCCGGGGGTGATCCAAGGTGAAGAAGCGACCTTCTTCGTGGAGGGTCCTGCACCTCGCGATGGATCTCATTGCCATCTTGTTTCCTTTCCTCACCGCTGCTGCCTCATGCGCTGCTAGGTAAGTGAACCCCATCACGTGGCTTTCATCCCTCAGTGCCACTGGCCCCTCATACCATTTTCCGGCAAACTGATAAGGCCTACCTCGCGCCCTTGAAAAGGTTTTGCTGTCCGGAGCGTGATGCTCAAGGGTTGGGTCTGATGCATCGGCATGGGCCCACCATTCTTTTCCTCTCTCCGTGAATACATCCATAGTGCTGCCCCACTTGTAATCTATGGGGTCAACCACTCTGAATCCAGCCTTAAACATGGTTCTCGACAATCTGGCCTCTGGACCACTGTACCTCTCCGAAAACAATGGAACTCCTACCGCTTGATGCGGGCAATAAGGCGCGTGCCTCAAGCAGCACTCCAAAGAGCAAAGTTTGCACCCGCACATCGCGGGGCAGGCCAAGTCTTCTCCACGGGCTGTCTCATCCGTGAGCTCTGTCCGGCACACCCCACACACCAGGTCATTTGGGCTTGTGGTCCCAAACGGGCGCTTGAAGCGCTCGGCTACGCACGACCCGGCCCCCATTGGACTGGCGTCAGTGGCATAGATTCTTCCACAGATTGAGGCCTTGAGGTTTGTGAAACTCAAGGGCAGCAAGGCCATCGCCAGCAAGACCTCATCGTAGGCATCATCTTTTGCCACTTTGGATGTAGGCTTGCTGCCGAAGTAATGGAACACCTCGCTCATCAGTGACATGGCTGGCCTTCGAAATGCACCGGCGAAAGCCAATCGCCCTGTGAGCCCTGCCACCACTCTAGTTTCCCATGTCCGGGATCCCAGCAGGCACATGCAAGCTCCGATTGTAAAGGCCCCTTTGTCCGGGTGCAGCATGAACACCCCTGCTTCTCCATCAAGGAGACCCCCCTGTAGGGTTCCTCTTAGGGCCCCCGCCAAACGCTTGCTCATATTGGTAGGCAATCCGCACCGCCGGCATGCCTCTTCAAAACGCTGGTGCTCAGGGCTCGCCTGTCCTTCCACTACCTTTCTCATTGCTTGGCTGACCGGCCTCAACTGATCCACCGAGTCCAAGTAAAGTAAGAAGCGTTCTCCCTCAGGGAGCTCCTTGTTCTTTTGAATTTCAAACTGTCTGGGGAGTCCAGCTTCCTCAAACGCGAGAGTCCTGATGGCTTGTTGAACAATCCCCACTGCGGAGAGCCATCCCATAGGCACCGTCCTCAGCGACACCCATGTCATCTCATCGTGAGGCAAGCCAAGGACTCCTCCTCTCACCTGCTTGCGGTACACGAACATGCCACGCCATCCCCGTGGCATCTCAAACAAATTGAAGGCCGACTGCAAATCCTCACTGTCTATAACTATGGCTCCTTCGGCCTCCAATTCACAAAGCCCCACCTGGCCCACATAGGGCAAGGTCGACTCATCTCCTTCAATTTTGCGGCTCACCGCATTCAATGGACATAAAATAGATATAAATCTTTGCAAGATCTTGCCATTCTTCTCTTTTGGGACTGCTCCGGCCCCATTCAGGATCATTTCACCGGAGGGGCTTCTCAAGATCTCTTCCTCCGGGCAAGGCTGAAAAAGACCTAGCTGATACCCCTCTGCCACGAGCCTCTCCCACTCGGCATCCGAGGCCCGCACATACGACTGGGGTACCGTCTCTGGCCATTCTTCCGCCGGAAGGATGGTGAGCAGTGGTTTGTTTACCATCTCCTTTGTGTCACCATGTAAAAATTTGGTGATGGGCTGAACGGCAGCTTCCCCCTTGTTTGGCCAACATGGAATCACTTTGTCGGCTGCAAGGTCTTCCATCACCACCCAACTAGATCCATCATAACCGTAGCCTTTCTTCTGAAGCTGCTCCTTTAGTTTCTGATAAGATGGGATCTTCAATCCCTTCGGGCACATGCGCCTCACCGCGGGCACCAAGTGCTGATCAACCATCTTGGTTTGCGCCGTAGTCAGCTTCCCGGGATGATCCATGTGGCGTGGTTGCTCCCAGCCTGTGCAGTACAAGAAGTTCAATGCCCAAGCCATCAATATGACCCACGCCCGAACTTCCGACTGAATGTCCCGGCGTAGCTCTAGGGCATCTAACGAGATAGGCAGGAGATCGGGGCCCTCAGGGGCATCTTGGGCTGTGGCCTTTTGACCCAAAGTCGTCCGAAACCTGCCAAACTTTGTCCTGAGATGCCCAGCATTTTCCAGCACATGCCAGGCCACTTCCAATGCATCCCGTTCCTCTGCAAGAAACCCTGCCATTTTTCTTTCAAACTTTTGTCTATGCTTCTTCCACAACCTGTTCAAGGCCTCCTCTTCAATTTCATATTCCTCCGAAGATGCCACTTCACCTTCGGGCGACTCAACATCCTTTTCGGACTTTCGCTTCCGCTGAAGCTCCCCTCTGGGGTCTGGGGGTTCACTGGGTTCCGCTGGGATTCGGTTTGCCAAGGCGCCACCATCTACTTCCTCTCGGCAGCGTCCTCGGCCGGCGTCTTCCGCTTTCCCTTCTCCTTGCTCTTTCCTTTCCCCTTGCCTTGGCCCTTGGCTCCGAATTCGTGCTCCCCTTTGCCCTTCCAATGGCCTTTTCCTTTCCATTCGGATGGTCCTCGGAGCTTTTCCTCCCGCTCCAATTCCTTCTGGATCATTGCCTCCTCCCCCCTGTCCAGAAGGGCTACGTCGTCTGGCTCCACCAGCTCGAGGAAGCGTGCCCTCACCCAACTGTTGTTGTCTTGCACGCTTTTCTCCAGAGCCTTGATCCTCTGGGCAATGATGTCGGCAGCCTGCGCCGACTTGTTCTCGACCAGTAGGTCCAGGAGAATTGTGAGGTACTTCAATTCTCTCCCGGATCGTGGAGTCCATTTCGCCTTCAGGTTCGGGACCAAGGCCACGTTGTAGTAGGACACTGCGTTTGCCTCGATGTTTTTGAGAATGCTCTTCCCCTTTTGTCGCAAGGCCCCCACGGGGACGCGCCCCGCTACCCCCATGGTATGGAGGAGACGGGCCGCGAGCCGGCCGGGGTGCCGCTGAGCGTAACGCTGCAACTTCAGAAACAGCGTCATCCCCGCGGGGGCCTTTTGAAAATCCGATTCCGAATCATCCTCGGCTTCCGATCTGTCGGGATCTTCATCTGATTCGGCCACTCCAAAGGGCCCTCTGTCTTTCGGCCTTTTGTTCTTCTTTTTGCCTCTCTTCTTTTTCTTGTGGCTTTGCCTCCTTCGGCTCCGTGACCTGGAGGGATCTGAAGGAGAACTCCGTCCTTTGCTCCTCTGCTTCTTCTTTCCCCTGCTTCTTGAAGTTCGCTTTTGGTTGCGCCCTGAACTCTTGTCAGAGGATGAGCCCTCATCGGAATCCGGCTCCGAAGACGATCCACCGGGTTCCGGGCTAGTCTTCACCTTCCGCGCGCTTCCTCGCATCTCACCTGAAAAGGGAGGGCTTCCCTTTCCACTCTTCGTTCTTTTCCGTCCCTTCTTCTCCTTCTTGCCTGCACCTTTCTTCTCTTCCTCGGTGACTTCAGCTGCTTTCACCTCCGCCTTCAGGGCTTTGAGGTCTCTGGCCAACTCTGTCAGCCTTTTCTTTTTCTTCACCAATTCTTCTTCCGACCCTTTCCTCTCTGTCGTTCTCTTCATTGCAGCCTTTTCCTTCCCGGACGGCCCTGGCGCGCTCTTCCCTTTCTCTTCCTCTCCATCCTCTTCATCATCACCTGGGTCATCCCAGGGCAAATCACCAGCTCCTCCAGCGCCTGGCCCTTCCTTTGGGACTCTTTTGAAATATGCCTGCACATGTCCATCTGTATCCTCATCCAGGATCCCTCCGCTGTTGTCAACGAGCTCTTCTTCCTTCCACTGTCGCCACTTGCCTAAGTGGACCACATGTTCTCCTGTTCCGCCCTTACATTCGGCGGGAGGACCTTTGCATATACGATATGCTCCGTCCACCGTGGTGACTGCCCCGTCTGGACTCGCAAGCCACCATCTGTAATATGGATCGGTAGCAGTCACCACGTCCCCATGCAAAGTCCTCCCGGTCTCTCCCGGGGCGAACAGGCGCTTCACCCACAAGACCACTGTGCCTTGTGGGTCGCCTCCATCATCGTAAACCTCGCCCTCTATATAGGTCCCCTTCGTGGGACCTTCGAGGGACTTTCTCCCATGCCATTTTCCAGGCATGTCCCTACACCCCCTCCCCCCACGGGAGGGTGGGCAAGGCTTGATAGCAAAACACTAGAGACAAACGAGAAACTAACTAGCTAACTAACTATGATATAACATCGCATCCCTACTCATTCGCTACACTACATTCCTAGGTGCTGCTAATTCCTATAAGAAGAGGCCTGTGCCAGTCCCTGCTGATGCACCACGCCATGCTATATACTTCGCACCTTATGGCGGGGTCGGCTGGCGTCTGCTTTGGACTTCGTCCTGTCTAAAAGGTGCAAAACCACTGGATGATGATGGTTAGATTGCAGGCCGACATCTGAAAAATTGTGATGATCTTTGATCATCCGTGTATATATATAATTATACTTATATATATAGTTTGAATAGGTAATGGGACACACCCAACCAATCCAACAAAAACACCTGTCAGCCTGTGAGTGTGTAGCTCGAATAGGAAGGACCCATCAACCAGTCCATTGGGTGCCACGAGTGTTCCAGTCTTCAAGTCCGGTGGTGGAAGACATGGGAAACTGTCCTACCCATACGCTCCGTGAAACCAGGCCGACCGGTCATGTTCGGGTCCGGACCCCTCCATGAGGGTACGGCCCCTTTAGGAGGGTCCAGGGTCGCTTCTGGGTGTAGACCACATCCTTTGGAGTGGCCTGTTGACCAATTCGAAGAAAGGAAACGACGGCTTTCCAACAGGGACAGCCCTCAGCTTCAGTGGGACGACCACAGAGGACGGGTGCCGGCACACCGCCTCGGCACCCGGTTCGGACGAAGCGGCGGGTCCGAGGCGGCGTGCGTGCGTTTGGGGCATCGCCTCATAGTCGGGCTCAGAGATTTGAGTGAAGAAGGGGCACTCCAACAACTGCAAGCCTGGAGCAATCGGACGCTACGAACGGGGCTGGCATCGCTACGGTGGCGGCAGCACCAAGATGGGGCGGGCCATGGGGGAAGGGTGGACAACCCTACACTGGCTGGCTGGATCTCCAGCCAGGACGCCGGTCGGATGGTCCTGGTCTTGATATTTCAATGGAAAACAAAACTGAATCAGAATCCTATTTAGATGGTCCTTCCTTCGATCTCCACCTCTTCACCGCTTGTGTTTTAATTTTGTCAACTGAAATACACTCGAAGGTCCTGAGTCAAAAGCCAGTGGTCAAACGAAGACAGCAAAAACAATTGACAATGACAATCACGCCTTCCCACCTGATGCAAATAGTAATGTCCAGGAACAACAAACATCTGTTACTATCTAATTACAAGTTCAGAACCCGAGCAGCACCGAGACTGAACTTGTTTGGAACCCTCATCTCTTCGTGAATCTTCTTTGTTCAATTTAATTTGCCTTCGGTGTCCTTACGTGCCGCATCTTACAGAGCCACGCTGGCTGCTGCACCTGCCCCAAACGCATTCGTCTTCGGCCGCGCTGGGTGTCCGGGCACACTTCGGCAGCGCCTTGGGCAGCCGCCAAGTGTAAGGCCGACCATCCTGGCCGCGTGTTGTCGGGAGCCGGCGCTTTGGTCGAGAGAAGGAAGAAACAGGAGGAAACGTGGCGGAACAAACGGATGCATCTTGGAAAGCTCTGGGAAAGCTGGAGGTCCAGAAAGACATCACTTTCTACTTGTGTCATGCATCGTTCTTCGATTTTGATACCAGTTGGGTGACCTCTGGGCAGTCCACCAAGTCGAGTGAACCCCTTTGGGTGCTAGAACAGGATAGAACATGCTAGAAATAAGTAGACTATAGAATACTCTAGATGACTATAGGATCCACTCTCTTTCAGGCACTCTCCATCAATCTCTCCTCCATGCCTTCCTTCACCGCAGGGAAAGTCGGAATCTGGGAACTGGAAACACCCAACCCACCGCAGACCCGTGCCTTCCTTCGTGCAGAGCCGCACCGAGGCCTGTCAACGCAGACGGTGGTGGTCGGTTGCTGGTGGTCTGTTCAACGAAAACCGGACGGTCCAAATCACTTTCCAAGTACGCCTGGTGACTGTTGGTAGGGTCCAAAATCAGATAAACATCCGAAACAGCCATCCATTTGGGCCCTGGCGCCATGGGTGTTCCTGGTGGTCGTCCCCGAGCTGCTGAGCAGCTGGAGTCGAGTCGTGCGGTTTGTCAAGCCACAAGTCGTTCGGCGGCTGTGCATATGTGTAAATGTATGATAATTAAATTTCATAATATATCATAATACATGTTATATATATAAACTATCTACTATCTACCCACAAAAAGCAAAAAACACAAATAGACAATAACGTTCACATAAACACGTATTCCACCTAGGCTGGGAGCAGTTCAAACGGATGAGAATGTGACGTTGCAACCAGCTGTATGTTTTCGTTGGTGTTTCCACTTCCACATCTTGGAAGTTCTACGTTCCACGCTGGAACCAATGAAATGGCTTCTCCCTTTGTACCAGACTGCAGGTGGGGGGAAAAACAACATCATCTTGTGTGCGCCTGTGTGTAGTCTATTCATTCTTTTCCGGGGTATGTAGAACCACCTTCTCCCAGAGTCTGTGCCATCTACTCAATAGGGCGCTTGCCATGAGGGGATCTCCTTTCTTGGCCGTTCTTCAGCGAAGTAGGTCGTGCTATCTTGCAACACAGAACCAAAGAATACTTTCTGGCATGCAACACATATTGGACCATCTTGAACAAAATAACAAACAAACAAGAGCAAAATACATGTAAATACATCATGCAAGCAGCAAACTGTCTATCTGCCTGGCTATCAATCTAATCATCGATGTATCAATAAACCTATCTTGTTCGTAGAATGCATCGAAGCGACAATCCAATCCACACAAAATAAGAAACTGTGAACATTTTCTTTCGGCCGGACTCTCTTTTTATCGTGAGCAGCTAGTGAGCGTT